CTTCTGCGTGGTTTTATTCTTAGAACCATAGAATCACCAAGTTTTAGAACCGGGATGAATTTCTGACATCATTCTAGTCCAGCCCTCCTGTGTGATTCATTTGACGAAGAACTCCTTTTCTAGCTTGCCTGTGAATCTTTGCACCAAGCTCCAACTAGTCCTCTGATGAGAAATATAGAAAAACGGTGAAGTGTTCTATCACGTCAGAAGAAACTGGCTCAGAAGAAAATAGTCCCTGTCTGTAGCATTGATGCTAAAGAAAAATTGCAGCCATAAAACGTAATGTTTCTGTCAAGTGTACCTGAATTTAAGCTTTTGCGATTCTATAGATTTTTAAATAACTTCCCACTATTAAAGGTAGCCTATTCAAAAAAAAATCACATATGATTTTATAGAGAAGATACATTCCAGGCAAACAATATCTAATCATTTGAACAGAGAATGATATCTTTTTCCCTTTTCACAAAAGTAACTGCAACTGCTGGCAGTGTTTGCGAACCTAGTGTTGGGTTTAAGCTTAAGGAAGCATTGGAGGAATTTGTATTACTAAGAGTTCATTCACAAACCTTGCTTGTCTGTGTTGAAAAGGGGCTTTGGCCATTTCCCCTGGGGACATTATTTCTAGGTAAGCTCTAACAGGGTTTTCTTGTGAAGACAGATTCTCAACAGAAAAATAGGATCTGTGTGCTTTGGGTTGTAGAGACGCATTTACCTTTGAAATAGCATGCTCCTGTTTGTGGATTTCTCTCCAGCATTTGATAAAGTAAATGCTGTCTATTCCCTTTTGATCCTGTAACTCCTTGGGCCACAGTTTCCCTCAGGAGCTGTTTTATATTCTTATCTGGACTGAACACCCAGCTTGATGAGTAGACAGAGAGACTCCAAGGGTCTTAGAATATAAAGCTGGAAGGATGATAAATACTTGTCTTCCTTTGTTGATGACTTACTCTTAGGGACTGAAGCATTTCCGATTTGGGTTGTTTTTCTCAGTAGTGTTAAGAGAGTTTTGTCTTCTGGGAAATTTTGGTTGCTGGTAAATAATGTGTCCAGACTGTAGGAGGCTGCCACAGAATTTGTCATAGAATCTTGACAGGTGTGGGCTGAGAGGCTGAGATCCCAAAATCATGCATGGCTCTCATTTTATATGTGAGAGCTAAGGTGACTTCACCAGACTGTTATCTGTTATCAAGAGCTGAGACTGAAATTCTAGATTCGTCTGCTCCATTGCAGCTGCCTCTGGCTCAAAAGAAACAACTCCCACATGGGAATCAGACATCGAAAACCCCACTAAGCCAAGCTCCCAACTCTCTCCCCAGCCTTAACCTCAAACACGAGTCATAGCTTCTCCGTTCTTTGATGTGTCTCATCACATAGGCCAGTACTAATCTTACTAATTGGACTCTGCATTACTAGAATGTAAAAGATACCCACTGTCTGCTCCTCGAAGGCCATGTCTGCCTTCCTTAGTTTGTACAGAGCCCAATATAAGTGGGCCCTTCATACGTGCTTTTTGATGAGAGCAATGATTGCCTTAGTCAGTGTGGTTGCACCCTCCCTTGCGGAGGAGGAAAACCAAAGTTTGTTGCTAAGCAACATTTAAAGGACTGGGTCAGTTTCTCACACTGAGTGACCTCCATTTGCGTACTTCGTCGTGTTGTGTGTTTTATGGTTGCATTAAGATGGCTTTGGTTTTTGGTGGCCCTGTCACGCCCTTCGCAAAAGGGTCATAGGAAAACTAATTTAGGCGGGCGAAGGAGGGGGGTGGTTTTCCCCCTATTCACTACTTACAGGAGTACACCGGCCCTGCTGTGAACTACGTGGAAAAGATGGAGTTTGGTTTATTCTCAGCCCTATAGTTCAGAGCCACCTCCCTGCTCCCATGTTGGGACTGATTGACAATGTGTACCAACAGGGTCCTGTGGCCATGGGAGGTGACAGTAAGAAAGTGAGAGGGAAGGTCGTTCCTCTCTGAGTCTTTTATGATTGAATACATACCGGTCCTGTATTTTGAGCTGAGGGGCCAATGTGGCTAATATAGAGTTGGCCCCACCCTCTCCAGACAGTTAACTGTTGTGGTTAACTACCATGCCCTAATACGTCTGACTGTTTCTACTAGGATGAAAGCTGGTTAAAAGCAATGAAAAACGTTTTTTGTTTGTTTGGGTTTTTTTAAACTGCTATATCCTCGATGCTTTGCCTAGCACATTTTAGGTGTTCAGTATATATGTATCAAATACATGAGATAAAATTCAAACTAGTACAAACCTGATGGACTCCAAAATCTTCCTAAGTATTTCAAAAAAAACCAGCGGAACCAAAATGAAGGTGACTGCTGGAATGCTACATTTGGCGAAATCTAGTGCAGAGACGTAATTAAAGAAATCATCCGTCTCTATGCTTTTTACAAGATATTTTTTGCAATGCTCCAAGTAAAGTGTGCTGCTTTGCCAAGATTCAGCAGATCAATCAGAGCATAGAAACCTGCCTTTTTCAGCTATTCTAAGTCTTTAGTATAAGTGCCTGTCATTTGAGAACGGAAAATGAGAGGCTATTAGGACTGAGGTTATGTCTTAAAAAATAAATAACTTAGAAGTTACACAATTCACCTGGAGTTCAAATTGCAGAGATTTCAGTAAGTAAAGCACACTATAGCTGGGATGATTAATGCAGAGATTTCTGGTGACTGTTACTAACATATTGTATCATGGGAAGACACACACACACACACACACACACACACACAAGCCGGGTTCCCCAGAAAGAGGGTGATTGTGCCTCTTTGAGGACAACACAGAGAGCAGCAAGCCAGGGGGTGGCACTACTGACGTGCACAAGCTTCACCTCAAGAGGCCTGGTCTCCTGGGCACAGGCAGTGGCATGGAGGGAGCCTGGATGCTTGAAGTGAAGCCATTGTCTGCGCAGGACGCTCATTTGAAAGGGGAATGCCTCACAGGAAAGAGAGCCAATTGCGTGTGGGGGCTTGTTGCCATGGTGCTTTGCTGTTTTTTTTTTAACATGCTGTACAGGAACTCCTGGGAGTCCAGGGGTCGGGTAACAGAGGAGGGAGAAGGAAGGCGGTGGGATGAGCCTGGGTAGGGAGTCCCACTGCAGGGCTCTAGTCTTAGTCTTTCTTCTTGCCTGTGATGTTTCTAAAGCTGACAAGGGGTATGGTGTGTGACAGAGAGAGAGGGAAGAGACTACAGGAAAGGAAAGGCTTCCTCAGCGTGCTCCAGATTGCTAAAGCAAAGTAAAAATTAATTTAACTCTTAGGTATTTCTAACATGGATTAGAAGATGTAACGGTGAAATACCAAAACAACAGTCATTCATAACCCCAAATAATTCTCCATTCATGCAGCAAACGATAGCTTGTATTAGAAAACACACTCCAGATCCTCGATGGAAAGGTTAAATGTGTTTAATTCATTTGTCAGATGCAATCTAATGTGCGTATTAATGAGCTGATGAAGGGCTGGAAATTGCATTCTGCATAAGAAATACTTTTTAAATGAAATCCGTTAATTCTGTTCCCATTCATTTCACTGTGAAAGAAGACTGTGCACCGGCACTCCGTTGAGGTGACAAAATCGTCCCAAAAGCTAGCTTAAAAATGTATTCGTGTGTACCGAAAGCCTAGTTTGAAAACAGCCACAGTTTTAACTTTTTCCTTTTTTTTGTTAATGTTCAGAAAGTCAATTAATCAAACACACCATCACTTTGAAACCCGAAGAGTGGCTGAGCTCCGTGCGGAGGCTGCCTCCGCAGAGCCCTGGTCTCGGCAGTGGAGAGAGGGTTAAGAACACCTAGATGAGAGGGGGGAGGGTACCGACTTCGGAGTGCCTTAAATATTCATGGGGCTTCCTCCATTTTAATCTTCTCCTTTTTAAAAGATGGCTGTGTTTCCTAGTCTGGCAACCCCTAAGGAAAGAATTGCTCCTTCCTTGCAAGAGTTCAGCTGAGCAGGACTAATAGAGAGTGGAAACCCCTCCGGCCACCAGGACTATTCATAATTCATAAGTGCTGCAAACCGGCCAGCTGAATACATTTGGACAGGCTCTTGCTCCTTCGTGCAATTCCCAATTGCATTTTACTCTCTCTGCCAGGAAAGAAGCAGGGAGCACAGGCTTCTTGCAAGAATGGAGTGTGAAGATGGGCTTTGTCTGGATTAGGAGATGCCCTAAATTTTGAAGGCTTTGTCTTTCCTAAATTTTTGTTATTTTACCACTGAATCTGCAAGGCTTTCCCGGTCCTTTCGGGAGTAGGGACTGCTCTCTCAGAACTGTGAATTCTTTCAAAGGGATTTGTGGATTGTGGCAAGGAGTATATTCCAAAATGCCTGAGGCAAACTATTTGTTATCTGTATCTTGGGGTTACATCAAGGTGGGTTAATCTGATGCTGTTATGTGTCTTTGATAGAATGTGAAACATCTGCATGTTTTCTGTGAAATAGAAAACCTCTGTAATGACTTAATTGTTTTATCACTTAGCCCACTGAGGCTGCTTATTATGAAATAAGGTCATGTTCTATTACATTGTATTTAAATAGACTGTGCTGTATTTTAATCCTATTCATTTTATGCAACTCTATTTTTAACAGATTTTTCTTTTGTTTTCCCTTAAACTTTTCACATTTAATCGCCTTTTACTGTGTAGATTATTAGCTCACGTTATATTTTAGAGTTAATTTCCGGTAAATGTATTTTAAATATAGTTACATTTTCAAGTGAAATTATCTTGACCTCAATTAAAATTCCTTTTTCTATGTTTGCATCTTCAAAAGAAATCAGATGTTAATTCCAAGAAATCTTAAGAAAACCTTTTTTTCTAAGGTGACGTTGGAACAATTTCACATTGGGGGAGTATTGTATTTTGTAGAAACGTATCATTTATCGAATGGTATCTGCTCAGTCTCTTGGTTCTTAGACAGTAAAGTTGGAAATGTATAAAGTCGTAATTTGCTGCTCTTTAGGTAGTTAATACATTTTTGTTCTTCACAAACAGTTCAAAAGAATGCTGAACCGGGAGCTGACACATCTCTCAGAAATGAGCCGTTCAGGGAACCAGGTGTCTGAATACATCTCAAATACTTTCTTAGGTAAGACATTCACTGGGAAACCTGGTCCATAACTGAGATTTTTCAGTATTAATCTCTGCAACCCGTCAGGAGCATTCTTATGTGAGTTTGAAACGGGGTTAAGTCACAGGAAAACAAATCCATTTAAAATAAGAACGAAGGACGTTCTTTAAAGTGCAAAAAATAAGCAGGAAGGTGTTGTTTGAAAAATGAATGCAAATACCCATCAAAGACAGAAGGTTATTATGGGCTAATTGAATTTATATAGACTTCAGGTCGCTCCTTATCTACTTACCCACTTCCATCTCTGCCAAGACTTTGGAAGGGGAGGGGGTGGGGGGTTCCAATCACCCAAACCTTAGGGACAGCTCCATTGCCCCCCACCCCCCGACACGGTATTCTTTCAATTCTTCCAATAACAGGGCTTTGAGCAAAAGGGTTCCTCTTAGGTGGTTTGCAAGAGATATGGTTGCAGAGTAACTCTATAGTGATTTGACCCATGAGAATAAGCTTGGAAATAATTTGATTGTTGCTTTGCTAAGTTATTTCTCTAAGATAAATGGGGGAAAGAGAATCTTCACATCTCTGAAAGAGCTGGCCTTCTGCAAACAGCACCGTTATCTTCCCAAGTTAATACTTTATCTATTATCCCCTGTTTTCACATTGCTGGTGTATAACACATGACCCTGACAGGAAAGATTTGCATCAGTGCCTCTTAGCTACTGTCATGCATCCTGTTTGATTATTAGGGATTTCTGATCTCATGTCTAAAGGCATTCTGCTGTGTATTTTTCTTTAATAAGGTCTGCAGAATCTGCAAATTTGTACTGCAAAGTGAATGGGTAGCATTTTGATTCTGACTCTGTTGACTTTCAATTACTGCTGAATTAGGCTTTTTTAACAGAACTCCCTTTTCCAGGGAAATGACCCGTTCTGACAGCTGAACGTTACACCTCCCTCTTTTTTGGCATTGCTACATATCCTTACATCAGTGGGTACTTGCTCAGTGTCTTATGGAAACACATACCTCTTCTGGTTTTATTTTTAAAAATCAACTATATTTCTCTAATACCAAAGGCAGGTTCTGCTATCAGGAGATTAATCTTAGATCAGCCTAGTGCAAAGCTCACCTCACTACTCTCTGGTCAGTGGGCATCGGCATGATTGGCAAATGCCTCTCCAGCTGTTCCCAGTATGTGAGTGTTAGCAGGACCCGGTTTTCTCCAGTGACGGTTGCCACAATCTTTGCCAGAGAACAAAGAGAAGGTGTTTTTCCTATATCCTAGCTCTAAGAGGTAGCCAGAATCTAATTGAATAGAAAGAATTATAACTGGTGCTTTTTCTTCTCCATTATTCCCCCTGTATTTCTGTGAAGACAGGCATCTTCTCCTGTTTATTTTAGACATACTCTGCTCTGTGCAACACCCAATTATTTTTCATAAGATGGGGACTGCTTTCGGGACATTTTCTCAGGTTAATGATGGTGGGAGAGAGGAAGAAAATCAGTAAATGCAAGAACTCCTTTTTGACTTGTCTTCGTAAACATTGCATTTTCGAATACCAGGGCTTTTCTGTCTTCTCCAAAGAGATTCTGACCACCAGAGTACAGCTGCGTGAGGTCCCCGAGCCCTTCATCATCCAAGGTTGCACCTAAGCGTTTCTTGTCGCTGTAGCCTCTTTCATGATCTGCTCGCCAAGGACAATGAGAATATTTTAGGGGACCAATTACTCTTTTTTTTAATCATGAAAGCCTATCAAATGAGAAAGCTGGTGAGATAATAAAGATGAGTTCTTAGTCTCTACACTTTGCATCCCAAGCATAGTGAATGTCAACTCTTGAATAGTCCATCTGCATTTAGGCATTTTCCTCTCTTGAGGAAAACCAATCATTTGGCTTCTCATCATTCAAAAAAAAATTAAAGCATCAAGAACAAGTTGTTTGAGGAAGGTTGTTAAATCTCAGTCCTTACACACTGAGCATCAGGAGGGTGGTGTGTGTGAGTGTGAGTGCGTGTGTATGTGTATGTTTGCATGCACACGTGTGCTCACGTGCAGGGTAGACCGGATCAAACAGACCAGGGAAACAGATTACAATTTTAAACATTCTGGAGAAAATCGAAGGAGGGAAAAAAAATCCATTTTATGAACACAAGATTCATCAGCTCCCTCAACTGTAAAATCACCCTGTGCCCTCCAGCTCTAACTTCCTATGACTCTGATATGGATGGAGTTTAGCAGTCCTGCTGAGACCCACCTGGCAACCCGGATTCTTTGGAATGGCCCACAGGCTTACTTAAAAGCAAACAAATAAACAAACAAAGCTTGTTTCCAAACTGCAAATAACAGAACACGGAACGCTTCGTCCTGTCTTGTGGGCATAGTGCATATTCCTGGAGACCATGAAGCCTTTTGCACAAAATGTCAGATCTGAAAGAGACCTTAATAGCCTCACCCAATTCCCTCATTTTCCAGGAAAGAAAACCGAGGCCCAGAAGGGCAAAGTAACTTGACCAACAGTACTTGGCTAATATGTTCCCGAGCTGGAACTAAGTCTTCACCCTCTTGACTCCTAGATTGAAATACCCATCACTTCCTTAACTAGGAAAGAAGGTTGTTAGGCTGTCAGAATATATAGAGGAAAATCTCATTTAATGGCATTTAAGTAATAGATGGATTATTTTGGAGAAAAGTCTTTAGGAAACAGGCTTGTTGGACTTAAAAATAAAATATGTTTATTAACAGTTCCCAGTAACATAACGGTCTCTTGCTGGGGCACAGCAGCCGTCTCTGAGAGCACAAAATGAGAAGACCTTAGTGATTCAAGTTAGACTGGAAGAGCAGTAGCTTAATAAGAGTCACTGAAGGTTACAATGCGTCACCCAGAGAGGAGGGGAATCCCTTACTGCAGGGATCTGTGAAACTTGTATTGTTTCTATCTAAAAGGATGGTGTCCAGATGGACAAGCTGAAAAGCAGGCAAGACACCATCAGTGCTGGCAGGCACTTTGTGATGCTGTCATAGGGTAACGTTCTCCAGGACGCTGGGACAGGAGGACGTAGAGGACCTAGGGGGAAGAAGCATAGACCATAAGCAAGATACTTAGATGTGATATTACAATGTAGTTAATTTTTTACAAACAGAGAAAAATCATCCTTTTGACTCCCTTACTTACCATCTCAAAAGCTAGAACATAGAATTTTCAAGATACAAGGAAAAGAACTTAGGAATTTCGCATGATTAAATGCTTAGATTGAGCGAGAAAAGCACCTCAAATTATACCATTAACACAGTTTGGACATGACTACTTTTTGCATCTGTTTATTTATTGATTTATTTATTTTGTGCTGTGCCATTGTTTCCCCATTGTAGTCTGACCATTCTGTAAGTGTAAATTCACGAAGTGTTTATTATGATTCTTTGAGTGTGTGTTTCAGGTTATTTCCACGCGGCGCTGGCTAAGCATTTAACAGTGGAAATTCAGAATAGGGAAACCCATCAGTTGTTCCAGTGCCTGCATAGGGGAACACCCATTAATGTCCAAATGGTGCACTCTGTGAATAATGGCTTTCTTCTTTGTTGTAACGTTCCAGACACAGTAGCGGTTCAGCTCAATTACTCATTATTGTACAGAATCTTTAATTAAACACAGGGAAGAAAGGCTGCTAGTCCCACTAGAGATTTTTATATCTGCATTGGCACTGGAGAATCTAACAGCCTCTTTAACCAGGCATGAAGAATGGTGAAGAATGATGGTCAGGAAAGGCAGGGGCTGCTGTGGCCTTTTATTTTAGCAAAAGTAGTAATTATTAGGAGTGAAGTAACAGGGAGAAAAGTAATTTCAAAAATAATGTGCTATGTAGTTTTTATGCCAGAGATTGTGAGACCAGAAAGAGATTTTTTAACAGAAACCTTAAGACCTAGGTTCTATGCTATTAAATCACTGTGTCTGGAACAAAAGTAATTGCAAGATAAATATCTGTTGACTAAATTGCCCTTTGAGCTTGGGCAAGTTGCTGACTTCATCTGAAAAGTGAGAGTGTGGGATTATTATTGGTTCCCAAACCTGGCTCTGATCGTCAGAGTCACTTGGGAAGCTTTTTTAAAAATACTGATTCAGCGGGACTGGGTGGGGCTCATAAATCTGTATTTTTTAAAAGTTCCCTGGGTGCTTCTGATGCTGAACCTGGTTGGAAAGCCCTAAACTAATTGGGATGACCACTAAAACTCCTCCCTCAGCCAGAGTCATAGGTTGATGAGTCTAGGAGCTTGGGGGCACCTAGAAACAGCACTGAGGTGCGAGGGAGAGAGGGAAAACCCGTGCTCCAGCCCTGCAGCCAGGTGTCGCGGGCCCATGACGGCTGCTTCTGCCTCCCTGTGCTGGCTTTGCTCTGCTGAGTCGTCCACAGGGCCCTGCGAGCGGGTGGAGGTCTCTAGGGAGAACATGTGACTATCATCTGTGAGAATTGAAAGCAAATCATCTAGATCTCAGCAGGCCATCTGGAAACATGTCATTTTCAAATGGAGAAGTTGTCTTTGGATGAATTTTCACTGAAACAAGTAAAGATGTAAACCTGGAACTTTGGAAAGCTGCGTTAACTCTTTCAGACACAGGGTGTTACTTAGTTCAGTGAAGTAACTGTTAAGCAAGTTAATAAATCACCAGCTCAGTGCACTCACAGGCATCCCTGTGGCTGGGAAGAGTCAGGGCACTTTCCGGAAGTACTCAGGAGCCATCCATCCCCCTGGGAAGTGAAATAGAATATTTGATTGCTGCTATTTTTAATAGCATGATATGGAAGAAGGAGCTTCTACGAGCAGGTGGACGTGTTTTCCTCACTAATCCTAGCTCTCCTATTACCTTGTTGTAGCAGAATTTTTTAAAAGATTAAATGAGATGAGTATAAATATTTAATAAGCATAAACATTTCAATAAATGTCATGCCTGTTCCAAACGAGAGGCATTGTTATTATTATTTATTAGAAAAATTCATAGACACAAAGCATGACATAAAACTGAAATTAGTCTTCCTCTAAACCTCAAAGGGTAATAACCAAGGCTTTAAAGTAATCATTTGAAGGTTATACACCAGTTATTTCTCTAACATATATACCACTCATCTAAACTGAACCCAGCTAAAATTATAGGAGTCTTTCAAATTTGCATTAAAATAAATAAATACAAATATAATAAAATGAGCAGAACATAAAGCCTGTTTATATTAACCTGGGCTTGGCTACATGAACCTTTTCTGTTATGTAAACATACAAGTTATTTGCTTTCGTAAGAAATCTACATATAAATCTTGATGCCTCACCCTGAAAATGTATAAGCATGATTCTCTGAAATCACCCTGCAAACAGAAGACCTGGGATTGAGTTCTACCTCTGTCACTGCTTGGCCAGGTTATTTAGCTCCTCTGGATAAAGTCACGTATCACGGGATGATGCTGGAGATCAAGTGAGATAATGCCATGGCAGCCCTTCATAAGATGCATCATCCATTACTGACTGTTGGGAGTTGTTTTGAATATTGCGGTGGGTTCTCATTGGCACACATGGGCTGAAAAACCTGTATTTTTGTTGTTGCAGACAAGCAGAATGACGTGGAGATTCCATCTCCCACCCAGAAAGACCGGGAGAAAAAGAAAAAGCAACAGCTCATGACACAGATAAGTGGAGTGAAAAAACTGATGCATAGTTCGAGCTTAAATAACACAAGCATCTCCCGCTTCGGAGTCAACACGGAAAATGAAGATCACCTGGCCAAGGTGCGTACGCGCTGGTGGGGTGTGCGTGGAGCTCTGCCTTGCAGAAGGCAGATGTCCGTTTTTATTTCCTACCAGAAAATAGGAGTGATCACTTTTGCTTGACTATTACATTGTATGATGAGGAGGCTGACGTAGCCTCTTTGTCCATTGCTGGACACCTAGTTAAAGACTGTTCTTCTATACCAAAGGACTGTTTTTTTTTAATTCTGAGTTGAGTTCACTAACTCATGAATGCAGAATCCTGTTGAGCACACATTGGGAGAATCCAAGGAGAGGCCAGGAGGCAGGACTGAATTATCCCAGAGGACATTTCAGGGACTGTACACCAAGGACCAAGGAGAAAACCTGCTCTGATCAGCAGAGCTGGCGGAGAAGTGAGAGAAACTGACAGCACTGACTCTTGAGCCCGAACCCTAATAGTAGAGGAAGGGCCAGAAAGGCCCCTTCATACCTGCTCTGGGAGGTTGTACAGGGTGACCGCTGAGGTCCTCTCAGCCTTGTGAGAAATGGAATGAGAGCAAATGAACATGCAGCGAGGGCTTCTGGAAGATGTCACCAGAGTGAGGTTGATCTCACATTCGGCCGAGCCTCTGAGGAGAGCCTGGATCCCTTACCCTGGGCAATAATTAATAATGGAATAAATTGCTCCTTTAATCAGATAATCTTGGAATAATCCCACAACACAGGATAGAATGCTATTTTTTCCAGGCCTATCTGTGCGCAGAAGCTCTAGGATATCATATGTGACTGGCATCTTCGTGATCTTCTGCAGTAAATGAGGGTTGACTTATGCACCTTCTGAGCAGCTAAGTCTCCTTGATGTGGCTCTTAGTGATAACATCCAAAGGGCAGAGGAGTTTCTGTGAGGTTCTAGCCGTTAGTGATGGGCCAGTGAACAGAGAAGGAAAGAAACAGGGAAATAGATCTGGAGTGCTCTCTAATCTCCCACACCTCCTTCTGGAAGCAGCATTGTTTGAGGACTGACTGACGTATGGCAAAAAGATTGTAGATCGGCAACCAAATTTATCAGTAGAGACACATGCTCCCTTTTCTGAAAAAAAAGATACAGAAACTTGTAACTGGCATGGAGAAGATACCCAGCTTCCCAGACCATTCCATTTTCAAATGTTCACGCAACCAGAACACTCTGAACAGATGCTCTGAAGACGTGGCCAGCCACTGTGCCAAGAATAAATAAAAATAATGAGGTATGCAAATAACCTCTCCTTATTTCTAAATGTCTCTGATTTTGACGACAGGAGCTGGAAGACCTGAACAAATGGGGCCTTAACATCTTCAACGTGGCTGGCTACTCACACAACAGGCCCCTCACGTGCATCATGTACGCCATATTCCAGGTGAGTGAGCAGGAGCATGTGTCGATTCTCCAGCTGAATGCTCTTTATGGTTTGGTTTTTTTTTCCATCCCAGTTTACTTGGCTTTTCTTCATTTTTGGACATCCCCTGATTTATTTTCTACTCCATTCTGCTGCATAGGAAAGAGACCTCCTAAAGACATTTAAAATCTCATCCGACACATTCGTCACCTACATGATGACTCTGGAGGACCATTACCATCCTGACGTGGCGTATCATAACAGCCTGCATGCTGCTGACGTCGCCCAGTCAACCCACGTTCTCCTTTCCACGCCAGCGTTAGATGTGAGTAGTTACGATCCATTTTGCATACCCGCTCATCCTCTTTGATAAGTGCCATACATGCGACATATTTACAGAAATAATGTAATTAGGTGAGTGCATGCACGTACTTGAACTGGTTCTTTATTACGTATAGCATGTATCAATTAGGTTCCTAATAAAAATGAATGACAATTCTACTTACTTTGCTTTCTAATGGCAGAGTAACCTTCCCTTTACCTTTCTTACAATTGAAAATTTGCTTAATTATCAAGCAGTTAACAGGGTGCATTATCTTTCATTTGATATCTACTATTAATAGGTGCTAATCTGAACTGCCTGTGCCATCCCAGGCACCGTGAGGGATAGCACAGAAATGTAATATAGAATGTTCTATACAGTTTTATTAGGAATAAGCATCCATAGGCTTATTCTCCTAAGAATTCATAAAACTGATTCTATGGGTTGAAGGAAAAGTAACTGAAAAATCTAAAACTGAGGAATTAATAATGTTGAAGCAAAGAGAGACAGCATTCCATCTTATTAGACACACAGCTAGAAGGTGGCTGTGACCACTTCCCTCACAAATTAATGCATTTGTATATGTCAGTATAAGCAGGCCAGCGTGCCCAGCAGGCCATGCTCTTCCTGGGCAGATGGAGTGGAGGTCAGGCATTTCCAAAATGTGCAGGCTCACTGCAGGAAGGGACTGGCCACGCCCTATCTAAACCTACCTTTGCAGGTTCAGATTGGAAGGTGAAGAAAGATTAAACTGACCCCAACTCTGTTGCTTGGGTTCCATACCTTCTGAGACATGAAATCGAAGAAGCTAAGGCTGTTTTATCCCCCTGAAGGAAAGAGACAGTATTATTTTTATGTTCTGCCTAAGTATCGCAGTGTGGGCCAACACTGTTTATCAGCTGTCCTCGGCTGCTACCTACCGTGTGGCTAGATGCTGTGCTTGAGTGCCACAGACATTTAGAGAAGGGAGAGTTCAGTGTGTCCTTGCGTAACTAGGTTGATTTGAAGGATCAGAAGATTTAAGTAATCAAAGAGGACGATGAAAGACATTTCAGCCAGAGAAAGACATTTTAGCAAGAAGTTATCAGATGCCTAAATAAATACTAGGTTTAAATCACTGTGTATCTGTCAGAGCAGAGGAGGCTTCACAACAAGGCATGAAGGAGTTGAGCAGTGGGCGTTAAGGTCTCACTTCTTAGAAGTGTTCTCGAATCTTGTCCATCGTAAACCCTGAGTGGATAGGTATTGATTGAATGCATGAATGAACAAATACCTGGAAGTGTCTGACCACGCTACAAACTTAGCTTTGAAAAATAATTTATTGCCAGTCTTACAAACCTGAAACTTGGCCTCTGTTCTCTAAGTCACTCGGCCTGAAAACACATGAAGGTTCTGCTATCTCAGAGCAGAGCCAGTCTGAGCTGCTTCTTTGACTTGCGTGTGCTTGTGTCACAGAAGCACCATTCTGCCATGCCACTTATCCCAGGCACAGACAGCAGCCACCACCTGGCCACCTGCCGTGAGCACTGTGCCAAAGCCTTCCCCCAGCCTCAGCCCGCAGGCTCGGGGTGGCCACAGCCTCTCATTACTCCTCTCACGTAAGGGACCTTATGATGATGGACAGAATCTACATTTAGTTGAATTAGTATATTGAGACATAAGATAAATCAACAAACCATTCTTCCCCCAACGAGTATGAAATGGGTACTTTAATACGAACCTGAATGAGCAGGAATGGCGAACGGGGCGTGGGGCTCATGCACTCGTCTTGCTCTGCAGGCCGTCTTCACAGATTTGGAAATCCTGGCCGCCATCTTCGCAGCTGCTATCCATGACGTCGACCATCCCGGAGTCTCCAATCAGTTTCTCATCAACACAAGTGAGTTCACCACTAGAACAGTCATTCGAGATCACTGTCACTGAGTCACTGAGTCACTGAGATTCACTGCCTGATTTTTTCCCTCCTGATGTTTTCATTAGGGATAATAATGAGGGTAATAATGAGGTAATCCTTCCATTCCACTCGGACTGGTCAGACCTTTCCTGGATACTGTATCCAGTCTAGCCACATCACTTTGTGCTGCGTGGAGAACTTGGAAAGCGGTCAGAGGGGAGCCATAAAAAGTTCTCAATGTTTGGAAACTACAACAAGTGAGGAAAGAGTCACAGATGTGGAATTATCCAGTAAGGACAAGGGAAGCCTGGGGAATAACGCCGTCACGATTGTCAGGAAGCTGCCGGCTCTCCCACAGAGCATGGGGACCCACGAGTGCCCCTCTCTCCTGAGGAAGCAGGTCCAGATGTTGAGTCTGAGCATGGGAACCTCCAAACAGAAGTGACACCACAGAAAGCACTGGAGTAGGTTTCCACAGTTCTGGATGAAGGCTCGGGTCACACACTCCATTCCAAATGCATCGGTTTGGTAACGGGTTAGGCTGTAGCATGGACTGGTCTGATGTCAGTGACCTTTGGAGCTGGGCCAGCTTTAAGACTCCCAGGCCATATTCAAAGCTTTTGTCATGCTCAAAACATTCAGTATGCTAAGGAAAATCCATGACTTCTCTCAGTTAATGCATCATTTCTAAATGCTGAAAATCTAAGCACTTTTTTCTTCTGAGAATTGGGTTATCGTGTTGTGGTCATGATTCACATCAAGTGTTGCCAGTTTTAAGAAATGTTTGAGCTACTTGCTGTAAAGAGTCCTTGTCATGCTTTATCAGTGGACTATCTGAATGACTAGGGGGGAGGTACATTGGTTTTTTCTTTCACTTGCTCTTCTATTGAAAGGACGTAAACTTTGGGCAGCCACTTGTCTGTGTGGGTTATATCAGCTGGCATAGGGTGGTGCCACGAGTCATTCTGTATATAGGCCAGGGAGCTCCACACAGGAAAATGGTCTTTCTGCTCAAGCCCCCGACAGCCCTACAACGTATAAAGCCAGTTCGCAGATCTATGCCCTCGATCACGGGGCGAACAGGGCAAGGGTGCTGAAATGACTTCCTGTATCCCACCGCCTTTTCTCAAGCTGGAACTCAAAGCACACAGTTAAAGCAATGGTATATGAGTGACAGCACCTACAATTGGTACTGTTATCCTCTCTTGGCTGTTATCCTTGATTAAGAGAAAATACAGCTTCATGAGTTTAATGACCATATTTTCAGCTGCAGGCCCTGGCTTTGCCTAACAAAAGAGGCCTGTGATTCTTCTGAGTGTAAGGCAGGCTGGAAGATGTAGCTTAGGTATTTAGCTAATACAGTTTCTGGTGTGTAGGTCCACACGGCAGAAAATTGGACATCAATCTTGTTGTAAAAAATTGTTGTTTGTTGCCATATTGATAGAAAACTCTGAAAAGCTACATTATTTGGATGAAGTGAAATTTTACATTCACATTATTATCTTACAATTGATGGAACCAGGAAGCATATAAGAAAGTGAAGTAAAGTGAAAATCTTAATACATTGGATAAAGTTTAGTGGCATTTTTTAATCGGTTCTTGTCCAAAGCACAAAATGTGTGAAGACATAAAGGAAGTTACAAATTGAGATAAAAATAGGATATAATGGCTTGGGAATGCCCTTACTTAAAATGTCAGATTCTTTATCTGAAGTGAAAAGGAGAAAAAGGATTTTTAAAATACTGTAAAGAGAACATTTATGAGCTAATATCCACTAGAATTTTTTTTTTTGGCTTAAAAACTATTTCTCTCTGTAGAGGGAGACTGTTTCTCTAAGGGAAAATGACGTATGGGTCTTGGTTCTTGAAATCATTTAGAGAGAACTAGACCTGATTTCACACTGATGTCATGCTGCAGTTTTGAACCACATCCCTTTTTATTACGTCATCATTTTTCCTTGTTTATTAGATTCGGAACTTGCTTTGATGTATAATGATGAATCTGTGTTGGAAAACCATCACCTTGCCGTGGGTTTCAAACTCCTACAAGAAGAACACTGTGACATCTTCCAGAACCTCAGCAAGAAGCAGCGTCAGACGCTCAGGAAGATGGTGATTGACATGGTAAGACTCTGGCCTCCCTATGTTCCTCACTTCCTTTTACTTTTGTGGAAAGAGAAAATCCATTTTCTTTGATACACTGAGTTTATTGAGTTTTCATTTTCCTTTACCCCAGGTGTTAGCAACTGATATGTCCAAACACATGAGCTTGCTGGCAGACCTGAAGACAATGGTAGAAACAAAGAAAGTTACAAGTTCTGGTGTCCTTCTCCTAGACAACTATACTGACCGTATACAGGTATTTGAGGAAAGCCTTTGATTTAACGCAAAACCACACCAAACAAAATGAAACAACAATTAAAAAGCAAAAACAAAAAGTTTACTTGGTTATAGGTCCTAGGTTACCACCACAGCTTCGGGCTTGTTTTAAGAACAAGCTAAGGAAGATGGACATTCAAGTTGATCCTATAATTTACAAAGAAAAACAGAACCCTATTTATTGAATCGCTTAATTCTAAAAATAAACAGCAGAATCTGTTTGTAATAGGATATACGTGACTGCTGGTCCCAAAAGCTCATGTTTGGATAGAAAGCCCATTGACTTGAACTTTGTGAGATCTGTTTTGGTTATACAAATTGTCCTCAGCTGGTCTCCTTTTTCCACAAGTGGAAAATATGAACACATCTACTTTGAGTAACTCTTTGCATTTTTTTCAAACCGAGGAAAAGAAATCATGGCAGTATCTGACCTCTGATGTCCCTTCCCATTTTTAAATTCAGTGACTCTCAATCTAAGGAGACACATTTTCCCCTTTTGGGACTCTTAAAGTGGTAAACAACCACCTCCGGCCAGCACCATTGTAACACTCCTTTTTTAGTGCAAACACCATAATTATAACGCAACTAAACTGTTTTTGGGTTTGGTACCAAGTGTACTAGTACAAGAGGGATGAGATGTTCTGGTAATAGTTATACCCAGTTTTATGGGATTTCCAAAACTTGATGATTTCAGGTCCTTCGCAACATGGTACACTGTGCCGACCTGAGCAACCCCACCAAGTCCTTGGAACTGTATCGGCAATGGACGGATCGCATCATGGAGGAATTTTTCCAGCAGGGAGACAAAGAGCGAGAGAGGGGAATGGAGATCAGCCCCATGTGTGATAAGCACACAGCTTCTGTGGAAAAATCCCAGGTATCTGATACAAAGTTTTTCAAAGTTTCTGTGAGCTCTGCTGATGGTCCAACTGGAGGGTTCTAGCTAGTTCCTTTCTTTTACATATATATATATATTTTAAGGAAGCAATGACCCATTTAGTTCCATTACACTCATGACTCCTTTGCCTTCTCCATTATACTCAATTTCACAGCGTGGAGATAAAGCAATCTTCAAAAACCCATCAAAGTTTGGACTGTGTATCCCCAGTTTAGATAATTATCCATGACCTTAGACAAAAAAAAAAAAAAGAATTTAACTGAAGGCTGCCACCTTATGCATCTCATCCCTCCAGATTTCCCCTAGCTCTGCCTTTACGCACGAGCTGTACTCTTAATCTTTGTCTCCTGCACCCTGTTTTTGCCATCTCCCCATGATGCACACCGCCACCATCACTAGACATAGCGAACCTCATTCCCACACATCTCTTCTACCTCATAGTCAAAGCCCTGTCCTGTGTCCCCTTCCAAGGTTGTGTCTACACTTCTGAGAACATGGTGACATCTTTTGGTTGTGTCCAAAGCTACAGCTTCCTGTGTGCTGAGGACGGGGGTGGGCACAATACACTGTAGGCAGGGAGATGTAGACATGCCCCAGATGCCTCTAGCTGCAAAGTATGTGGCACTAAAAGGTATCAGTATCCTTCAAAGGCTTCAAGGCCTACCGAGATGTTATTTTTTTGAGGACAACAAATGGCCTGAGCCAGGTGGTCATGATTAAGACCAGGTCTCTGGGCTGTCCAAGGCCTTGACCACAAAAGCATTTGGGAGTATTTGTTGTTAGTGTATATGTTCTTTCCCCACTACCTTCTACCCCCAAATTTAGATATAGTTGTAATATCAATGTGTAGTTCCTTTACAAGTATTTTTGTATTGCTTTTTAAAGAAAGCCAATCAAATGAGTTTAAAATCTGTGAAAATTCCTTAAAAGTCTAATTTGCCATAAAAATGCAGGATAACATAAATTTAAATTCAAATCCCCTAGTGCCTCAATAAGGACAGAGTATTAATTAATTAATTAGCTAGTTAGAATTCTGCCCTTTTATTAACAGTGATATTTGACACTTACATGGTGTTCTGTATGGTTTTCCACACATTTCCCCATACGTTATCCCGTTTGAATCTCCAAACAGCCTTGAGATATAGAGCAGGTGTTTCCCCAGTGTGTCAGGTGAGGAAGCTGCCCTCTTGATCCAGTTCACCAGCTCCTTAGTGACCCAGCTGCCTTCCACAGCAAGCTCTTCCCTCCCCGTCACTGCGGACAGGTCTCCCTGTGGCCGCGACAACTGTGACCCACTCTGGTGTCGCAGCTGGGGCTCTGGTGAACGTTGTCTGAGTAATCTGGTAATAATGCCCTTGACTAGGTGCTCTTCGGATCTGTTGAGCTTCCTCATCCCAGGACCTGGGAAAGGACCATAGGCTGCCATTCTAAAAGTGCAGAACATTTAGCAGAAGCAAAACAAATGAAAAAAGAATGTGTCTGCACTCTGTTCAGCTGATTCAGTTTTCTCCATTGCCTTGAGCTTGTTTTCTTCAGGTCCCTGGAAAACACCTTGAAAATAGTCTCTAAAAACCATTCAACACACATTAAGAAGTAAAAGGGAGGAAAGAGGAGTGGGTGCAAGCAGGAGAAATACCTGAATCGACCGCAGTCAAGTTCTTGTAACCAATGCAGATCAGAGATGCCCTGGCTTTGGTGTGACTTCTGTTTGTTAAGGCCAGGGAAACAACAGAGGGTAGATGGATGGATAGATAGATAGATAGATAGATAGATAGATAGATAGATAAAAGAGTCACATATGACTAAGATTCTTTGATATGGGTACAGCAACTTTGATGTATTAAATAACTGGCCAAAACCCAGAATGTTGTTAGAGTTTCCAGTAGCGTGGAAAGAGAGCCCTATCATGTCCCACGGGTGCTCATAAGTCACCCTTGCTCATCTACCCCTGAATCCCGACCCAGCATCTCTCCAGCAACCCAGACCATGACAGGGGAATTCCATTCCCTCATTCAGCCAGTGCCTATTCTTTCTCTCAACCTGCTCCCACCCGCAGGGTTTCCTGTTTGTCTGACAATGGGGAGGTCAGCATAAGGTCACAGAACCAGCTCATGCAGGATGCATAGCCCCTGTGCAAACCATCACAGAGCCATAAGCTTCGTATTTGTTCACAGGAACACTAGCAGAGGAACTGCTGAATTGTTTTTCTTTTTCCTTCTTTCTCCTGGTGGAAATGACTTGTGTCCTATGGACCTAGAACAATTGCAGACATGTCCACAGGGGCGAAGTTTGTTTGTTTAGGGGCCTGGAGTATTTTCCAGTGTTTCACCTACATCATCTACAAACCAAAGCATTCCACAGAACTTGAGACATTTCAGAGTCATCTGGGGAGCCGGCTCCCTTTCATTTTTAAACCAAGACATATTTCATTCAAGTTGTCAGGGAAAGAATGTTGTGTAAGAGCTCAGCAGACCTGGGGCTTCCTTCTTCAGAGAATGACTCACAGAATCCAAGTAGTGACAAAGTCATTCCCAGCCTGGGTTACATCC